TGCATCAAAGCTATTGCCTTCAATGCATAGCTCCTTTTCCACCCCCCCCCGCTTGACAACCCACTGACAGTGCTAGATTTATGCACCAATTTACCAGCTCGCGTGTGCAATGCGCAGCTACCTACCCCCTCCCCCAAATCATCGGTGAACGAAACTGTGGCAGCTACAACCAGTGTACGACCAGTAAGCGGTTCTTACAGCTGACAATGATGATGATGATGACTCAGGTGCGTGGAGTGCTATGGCTGAGTCACGTTCAGTTTTTTCAGCTCTCTTGGGTTTCTTGGAGGGGAACGCGCGGTCAACGTTTATGCTCTGTGATTCGTACATGGAGTTGCCTAGCTCTATGCCCTATCTATTTAACCGGACATCCTGCACAGGGAATTTCGTAAACGCAGCGTGTTCGTTTTTCCAGTTCGATAGGGTCAAAAGAGTATTATCGAGTTTTGTATGCCATTCACCGGAGATTTTCATGCTTATTTTTAGAATATGTTGAACAAATCTTACTCAGTTGGAACAAGTTGTGGCGTTCTGGTTTGGAAGTAGCTTGTACCAAAAGTTTTATACAAAAATACTGCAAGATGTCATGTTATTTCCTCTCCATAACGTATGATGTTATTTATGGGGATCACAACCTTGAGCTGACTGTGTACAACGTCGAAATACTCTTAGCTTGGAGTCTAAAGGACTGTGGAACTTCCCACTGGCGAAGGTTAGAAGTACCTCACTTTGCCACCTTTGTAGTTGTCACTGCAGGAGCGACTTATTCAGAACAGCCCTGTTTCGAATGGTGCCCTGATAAAGCCCTCCCTCAGAGGGACTCCATTAAGATAGTGTATTCGGAAATAATCAGGATCATTTGTTGGTAGTACGTATCAGGGGGGCGAGATGGCTCAAGTGATAAGAGCGCGAATTTACTGATCGCAAGGTCCGTGGTTCGAACCTGACCTCTGCCTCTCGACTTTCCTAGTCTATGCTTGGGCAACCTGACAGTATCCGAGCCCTCGGGTAGCATGGCAGGTAGGCACCGAAAGGGTGTTACAGTTGAGAGAAAGAGATAGAGAGAGAGAGAGTACGTATCAGGCAGTTAATTTCATCCACTGCATCCCGCCCCCCGTTACCTATAGTCCTGGAAACAACCATAACTGTTTATTGTCTTTAATTCGGCTATCCTACCCACATCACTTTTTGCCGTTTTTTGACGAGTTCCTACCCCCTCCTGTCTGTCTCTTTCACAGGCTTCGTCACAGAGGTGATACGAAGGTGAGTATCCTTCTCGTTCGTCTCGCTGTATCGTTGAACAACTTTATACTTTAACAGTTTCCTGGACGGCAAACAACCCTCTATTGTAACCTTCGTTTGTCCATTCTTGTTTCAGTTGCTCGCTTCCAAATCTCTGTTCCTGATGTTTTTCTCATGTATATATCACCCCTACCAATTCTGTTAACTGTACACGTTTGTGTATCGATAATATAACAACAGCTCAGCACAGTTGACCAAGTCGTCCTCTCCCTGTTTCATGGGTTACATCACTCGAACGCCACGGGAGAGTATCTTGACAGCACACGACTTTTTTGGGTAATTCGAACGTTGATTTGTTACAATACTGTACTGATGTTCTGATTCTTCGTTATGCATTACAGTGGGGTAGGGGCGAGATGACTCGGTGGTTAGATTGCGAATTCACTAGCCGGATGGTCCGTGGTTCGACCCGGTCTCTACATCTTCACTGGGCAACCTGGGGTATTCCTTCGGTGGCACGGCAGCTAGGCACCGAAAGAGGGTTACAGCTAAACGATTGTAAGGGACTCACTCGTGCTATCTTAGCTCATTTTGCTGGGTTGCATCCGAGTTTTCGAAACACCATAGCAAAGTTGATGCCCAGAGCACATAAACTTGAGATAGTTCAATGGTTAAGATGCGAACCTAATGGCCGGAATGTTTCGTACCCAACCCCGGCATCT